AAATTAAAGGTAAACTTTCATAATTCAAGCTCGAAATTTCAGCCAAAACCATTTTCCTATTAATTTGAAATTATACCTTTTATGTAGGCATTGAATGGGACCTTTTAAGTCTTTATATTTTTCATATCATAAAAACATTTTTTCCGATGGTGCTTCTTAATGTATACTCTGTACATAATTTTGAGAAACATGTTGATATTGAATTTGTAACATTTATCTATCTTAGAGGCTCTAAGTGTATCTTCCAAAAGGCACAATTAAACTAAATTTGATAATAAAACTAATATGTGCGTGTATCCGATATGTAAAATTAAACAATGAACTTGTTGCTGGTATTCCACAAATAGCTCCATTCCTTTTAAATACTTACATGTGAGATTTGCTTTATTAATACTGGTAACAGATTAGCATTTATTACACTTTCGATTTGATCACTACTGTCTGCCATTTTATAAATTGTCCAAATAGCTTCCTTTGCAATATCTACCTTGGAACCATAATGCTTTAATATGGTACGAAGATACAACAATCCTCCCGCAGAGATGATAGCATTCCTTTGAGCATCATTACCAATTTGCACTATATTCCTTATTGTGATAAATGCTGGAATAGAAATACTTCCTTTCCTCGATATCAAACACTCCAAAATTTTTGGTAGAATACCAGTTTCCATTATCGCTTGTACATTATCGTTGACTCCATCAGTAAGGTAAGAAAGTATCCGACAAATATCGGCTAAATTAAACAGCAATATAAGTATCTCAAAATTCAAATTCATATGGAAAAATACTATTAAATTCGCGAAAAGCTATTGGAAATAATTACAATATTATTCAAGTCAAATATTGTATTCGTATAGTATTCGTTCAAATAGTTTTTTCACAAATCTGATAATATTTTTCCAATTGCGATGAAATATATAATACATAATGTAACGATAGAACAGATAAATTGCGAATATCTTACAGATTATGTAATCATTTTCACTATTTAATAGATGATAAAAAATTGGTAAAACAGGTCTAACCAATTCAAGACATAAAGGTGGATTCTTTTCGCATAAATTAGATAAAAGCCATGAAATGTTGTCCATGAACGTCACCTATATATTTTCTCAGTATCAAAGAATATTGGAATATGGTCTACTTAACCCTTTGGCCTACAACCACGAGTGAGACTCGTGGTAAGGAATTTGGTCCATAAACAATAAGTACGAGTCAGACTCCTTACCACGAGTCTTACTTACCAAATTCCTTACCACGAGTCTCACTCGTGGTTGTAGGCCAAAGGGTTAATTAAACAAACATAGTTTTAATATTTTATTTGACATAAAAGTTAAGTTTGACCTGCTAGTTTTTATGTTAAGAACGCTTACCAACATTGCGCTAACGTATTATTTGTTTATGAATTATTATATCTACTTTCTGTACCGTCTCTATAAAAGCTCGATTTGGAATTGCTATATATACTGAATATCCCAAAACTTTTTGCCAAGCTCTCTTGTGTATATAGAGCGGACTAAACTAAGTCAAAAAGTCCTTTACTATTTTGCAATTTTCGCAATAGTTAATAAAATGTTAATTACAAAAAATTGCCGAATACTTTTAATAAATTTTTTCTCAAATACTATCAACTTTACACTTACAGAAAAACTGCAAAAGACAAAAATTGTTTATTTTCTTCTCAATAGAACTCTAAAAATTTTTTCAGAATTTTTTATCAACTTTTTAGTACTGCATTTTCTTATTGACAACTATTTTTACCAACATGAGAAAATACGGTATTAAAAAATTCTGAACAAATTCTCAGAACGTTATGAGAAGAAAATTAACAATTTCTGTCTCTCGCTGTTTTTCTGTAAAGTTGATAGTATTTGAGTAAAAAATTATTAAAAACTAATATTCAGCGACTTTCAGTAAGAGTAATATCTTGTTAACTATTACGAAAATTACAAAATAGTACAGGACTTTTCAACTCAATTTAGTCCGCTCTGTCTACACAAGAACGCTTGGCAAAAAATTTCGGGACATCCTATATAGGTATATCTACATTTATTGTATAGTATATATTTCTCTCTTTTAAGCACTACTTATGAATTGCATTTCTTAAATAAGTTATAATTTAAATAATTGAACGTAATATTAGGAATATTACTATTTGTATATTTTAATCTAAAAATCGATATAATTTAATTATTTTCAATTATTCGCAAAATGAAAATATATTAAGGACCATGGTATATTATATAGAACTATGATAAAAGGAAGTATAATACAAAATTATATATGTATAAATCAAAATAATATTATAAGTTATAAAATTAAGTTGTTATATTGACAGGACAATAAGAGAGAGAGAGAGAGAGAGAGAGAGAGAGAGAGAGAGAGAGAGAGAGAGAGAGAGAACAAATAAGTATTAAATTTAATCAATACTAGAAATTTAAAATGCCTATTACGGTCGGAGCTGGATCTTCGTTGCTTTTTAAATAATTCAATTTTTGAATTACTAATATATACTATATATGTACTTGCATATATACCATATTGTAGTCTTTTTCTAACTGCGCGCTGAATTGTTTTTCCGGACTAAATAAACGCAATTAAAACTACTCTAGTAATCGCGAATTAAATTGACAAGCAATTTAATAATTTGATGCTACCATCAAGCATCATATATTATAAAGATGTTAATATCAGTACACTAAGGAAACAACGTCTTTCTTTCAGGCGACGTGATCTAAACAATATATTTATATTTTTAGACCGTATATGTGAGAAATACAGTCAATACTAGAAATTTAAAATGCCTGAAAGAAAAGACGTTGTTTCCTTAGTGTACCGATTATTGCGAAGAGTATTATTAAGGCCTCGGTAGTCTAATGGCTCAGGACGCTCATACGGTTTACAAGAGATCCGGGTTCAAGTCCCGGCCGAGGTAATATTTTTCGCAATAAATTTATTAACAGTTTTTAATATATTAACATCTTTATAATATATGATGCTTGATGGTAGCATTAAATTATTAAATTGCTTGTCAATTTAATTCGCGATTACTAGAGTAGTTTTAATTGTGTTTATTTAGTCCGGAAAAACAATTCGGCGCGCAGTTAGAAAAAGACTACAATATGGTATATATGCAAGTACATATATAATATATATTAGTAATTCAAAAATTGAATTATTTAAAAAGCAACGAAAATCCAGCTCCGACCGTAATAGGCATTTTAAATTTCTCTAGTATTGATTGTATTTCTCACATATACGCGGTCTAAAAATATAAATATATTAAATTTAAATTAAAAAGTTATATGTATTTAAAAAAAAAAAATTCGCATTACATATATTCACATTACAAATATTCACATAACTTGTTTTGACTGTGAAATTGAGACATCTTCAGATGCATGACAACTTAAAAATTCTTTAAAGAGAAAAAATGCAAGTCTTGTTGCTCTGGAAAATATTCAGCTTATCAAGATCTTTTGACTCCTTTCTAATTTATTACAATTTTTACTGCGTCTTGCGTTTTTTCTCCATAAAGAATATTTAAGTTGTCATATATCTGAAGATGGCTCAATATCGTAGCTAAAATGTTATGTGAATACTTTTTGTAATGTGAATATATGTAATACAAATTTTTTTTTAATACATATAACTTTCTAATTTAAATTTGATACTTACTGGACTCTTATTGCCCTGTCATTATAACAACTTTATTTTATTACAAGAGTCCTTTACTTTACTTAATGAATTACAAATATAATGTAAAATATTCTATAATATTATAAAGTTTATTTATTGTTATTATTATATATATAATAATTAATTATTACTAAATTTCTCTTAAAAACGTTTTTGTCACTTATTATTTTGATTACAAATACCATATATATACTGACTCTTTAAACAAACGAATAAAAATGTTGTTTGCGAGTACTGACAACAAGAAAGCATGATAAATATGTGGTTAAAGAATATTTTTAAATAAAATGACACTTACTGAAGTATCAGACTTAATTAAATCAACTAAAAGAGATATAGCATCATATTGAAGAGCAAGATCACGTGCATAGGGAATATCAATTATATTTCCTAACACATAAACTGTTTGTTCGGCAACAATTGAAGATGTAGACTTAAGTAGCTTCATTAATTTGGGTATTGCTTCATATTTTATATAATTGTTCGATTCTTCGGATACACTCAAAGTAATAACAGTTAATAAAGATGTTACTTCAGATTGCAAGTAGATGCTATACAAAAAGAATTAAACAAATTATGTCTTATTCATGAATATATGAAGACATAGATCAGAAAAAAATAGTTAATACGATTAAATTGAAAACATCAAGAAGTTAGAAACATATTTATTATCATTGACGTATGTATATATAAGGTAAAATTGCCTATTATGAGATACACGGAGAAAAATGATTTTGCCATGAACATAGAAGGACTGCAAAACTTAATTGTCGAATTTGTTTGCTGTTTATATAAACTATTTTCATGTGGGTACATACTTGTCGCTGTCTAAGAGTTTAATGCAGCGTGATACGATGCCACCTTTTATCATATCATTCACAGTATTCCTTTCTCGACCTAATTTTCTGTAAGTTTGAATTGCCATTAATTGTAATGTTTCATCTGACGAATTTATGTTGTTTGCAATTTTATCCAATACAGAAAGATCGAGTGGAAGAGAAGTTTTGAACATTAAATCAAACAGTTCTTGTTGTACACCAAAATTGCGTTTTAACAATCGATCTTTACTTATGGTTTCACACAGTTCTATTGCATCCTTTTTTATTCTTAATAATTCCTAAGATACATATACATGTTTCAAATAAGTAAAATGTTTCGTATATATGTAGTGATTTATGTTAAATGATTCAAATGTCGTAATAAAAATTATATAGAATATCAAAAAACATGCTATTCACATATTACGTTCATTTTCAAATTTATGAGATATATTATTGAAATAAAATGTTAGCTGCTATAAATTTTATTGAATTTCCATAAATAACAAAATAATTTAATTTATACTTACTTCGCTTTTATTATTAACATTAAAATTTGTTGTGGATCTATTATTTTGATCTCCTCGAACAGACATTATTTCGATGCTTTACTGTAAATTTACTTGCATAAACATTTTAAAAAATTAGAAATAAACAAAGTGTTTTTAAGATAGTAAGTGAATATTAATTGTGTATATCAATAATAAAAATTGCGATGTAATGCGACATTCGTAGAAAAACATGATTCTATTAAATGTTGCTAATTTAAAATTTATCATACATAATGATTACACGCAAAGTGTTGAATATTTATTTATATGGAAATTTATAACGAATTAATAAAATTAACTTTATTTATATAATATCTAATATGTAAATAAATTGATTTCAAGCGTACTTTTACTAATTAGCCAAAAGTGTAATAGTTACCTGATTAAACAGCCGATTTTATTACGTAAGTCCGTGTTATTCGTTCTTCTTTATCAAAGAATTTAAGTAACTTGTTACTATTGTCAAAAGTAAAAAAGAAGAATAATGTTATCTTTTACATTTATTGAAATCGATGAAAATAGGTACCGAATAAAAATCAAAACTACGCATTTGATCAAAGATGTTTGTAATGAACAGACATGCTCGAGACTGCCAGTGCGTGAGCAATTTCTGTTTATTCTGGGGTTTTTTGATGTTTCTATATCCCGAAAATCAATCAATGTCGATAACCGGACAAATACAAACTCGCTGTTATTATCATATAATATAATAAACTCTTTATTTGGGGCATGAACAGAGCTGATCGCGTCCGTTTTGATAATGACTATTACTGGATTTACATTGGATCCAACGTGCGTCGTACGACGCTCTGCAACCAATCAGAAAATAGGATTTTGCTTTGTATTATCGATATGAAATAAAATTCTGCTTTCTGATTGGTTACAGAACGTCGTACGACGCACGTCGGATTCAGTGTGAATCCAGCATATTTTAATATTAGCTGTATTAAGATTTTCTAAGAATCAAGAATTGTGATTTCTGCGAAATATATTGAAGAAGAATTTTGTTAGTGGAGAAACGTGTAATCCATGATTTTTTATTTTAATAGATGAATTATAAATAGAAATTTAATTTTTAAGATGAAATAATTTTGAATATTCGAACTTTTACAATACCTTTTAACATAAGTTAAAAGTAATCGAAGTTGCCCATTGATCGAGCTCGCATTCTAATATCTCAGATGTTTACGCCCATTGGTCAGTCACCTATTATTGATTTTCATAATTTAGTACAATTTAGTTAATTTTACTTTTCATCATTCAATTCTCGCCTTCTGATATTTTTACTAATTACAAACTTTAAGTGAACTTTATTTTTTAGCCATTACTATTGGTCGCTTTTATTCGTTTACTACTCAATCAACATCGGTATCTAATCGATATCTTAATCGTGACTGAAGTTTGTCTGAGAATCGAGCTGATTTGTGACTCAATGGCAGTCAATGTATTAATAAATTTTTCAATAATTGATTATATCATTTGATGAATATATGTATACCCAAGCAGAACAATAAGTCATTATGATATCAAAATGACTTCAAAGTGACCACTAAAAGTCATTTTTCAATCATTTTCGATGATTCATTTTAATGTCATTTTGATGTTATTGTGACTTGTTGTTTTACTTGGGTAAATACAATATTAAATCTAAATTTTCGAAAATTAAACATTATCTATTATTATACATACATGATTCTCTTTATAAAAAGTCAGATGCCACTTATGAGTAACTATGACGGTCTATTTGATCGTTAATATAGGTTTGAACAATTAAGAATAATATTAAATTCGTAAAGAGGAACAAAGTTCGTTAATTTATACGTTATGGTACAACTGACGAAGTTTTTTTCTAAAAATGTATTAAAAATGTTCTTATGTATTAAATATCCTAATGGAAACCTTTAAGAAAAATGTCTCGCAAGACATTTTTAGGATATATTAGGGTAAATATTTGACAATCATTTGCTTTTCTCTTTTCATTTGCAGCCTTTCTCTTTGTTCTACTTTCTCTGCAACATCCCAGATATTATTTAGACCATTTAAAGCACTGATAATATGCTCATAATTCTCCGCTTCCAATAAATTAAAAAAAGTTAACAGTGTATCAGCATTTACTAATTTGGTCAGATGTTGACTTGTTGCACGCGAGATTAAATCCATTAAGATCCATCCAATCATCTTTTGAACCATTCCTTTTGCCTATAAACAAATATGCATATATATTTTATATATATATATATATATATATATATA